AGAAAGAAAAACAATTTCAGTAAAACAAATATTAATTAATTACAGGTTAATTAATTAATTACAAAAATATTTGCTGCCTTGTTAATTACCCCATAATGGCTGCCATTAAGAATGTAATTGCTGGAACTAGATTACCCATTGCACTTGCCATTGATGATGAGGCCAAATAGAAAACACAAATAAAAACGCATTGCATTAGCCTCCAACTCAAACGCATCATTCATGTGATTTTCACTCAAATAAAAACACAAATCAACATAAAGTAATTTCAAAAAAATAAATTTCAGTAATTTCAAAAAAATAAATTTCAATATACTCATTAATTTGATTACTATAAAATTTGATTCGTGTTAAATTACACTCATTAATTTTTTTTTTTACAAATTATAATTTTTTCAATACTATAACTTATTTCTTGCACCAAATACTATAACTTTTGTTATATATTAGACTCAGTAATTTTTTTTTCTTACAAATTACAATTATTTCTAATAATTGTGCATTATTTTTTACAATTCAGATTCAAGGTCATTTTTCTTTTATCCATTCATTAATACAATTTTACAATAAAAAATATTATCCGTTCATACAAAATTACAACAAACAAAAATGCTATAAAAAAAAGCAAATACATAAAGAACAAAACTTTAAAAACTTCATCAAATTTTCCAACAAATCCTATTTACTAAAAAAATATATTATCCATTAAAAATTACAACAAAAAATTCACCAACATTCACACAAAATAAAAAATAATTTACAAAAACAAAAAACAAAAAAAAAAGTCAACATAAAATAAAATAAAATTTCAATTACATTGCAACATAAAAAAAAGCAAGAAAAAAAAAACATAAAATAAAAGGGCAAGAGTACCTACCTGACCAGGCGACCGATGTGTCTTCTCTGGCGACAGTGGCGACGTCCAGTGGTAGCAGCAGCAAATGATGACCGGCGAAAATGGTGGAAAGGGAGGAACCAGCTGTTGGAAACGTAGAGAAAACGGGAGACCAAGGCGCGCTGCGCTTGTGACCAAAGTGAACCAGGGGTTATAAAGCCCTAATTTTTTGGGATTGACCAAATCATTTAAAAATCGGTCGCAATTTTTAATCTTGCGATGTCGTTTTGTAATCAAACAAATTGAGGCCGATTTGCGACCAAAACTATCCGTCGCAAAAATATGGGTCGCAAATCGGTCACTAATCCCTTGCAAACCAGAAACTAAATTTGGCGCTGAGCTGTAACGCTCAATTTTGCAATGGACTGTGAAATAGTCGCAAATCCATCACAAATTCTATCGCTAATTCGTCACAATAAGGTCGCAAAGTAGAAACCAAACTGGCAAGAGTTATTAGCGCTAGAATTAGCGACCGATGTGCATGCGGTCGCAATTCCATCGCTAAATTTGTTGCAGTTTGGTCGTAAATTTGTCGGTGAATATTAATATCTCTGTTATTTCAATATTCATTGCAATTGGTCGCAACATCATCGCAATATTGCGTCTGAACTACGCCGGTCGCAAAAATCGGTCCCAAAAGCGTTTTTTTTTTTTTTTTTTTTTGTTTTTTTTTTTTTTTTTTTCCGTAGTGTATCCTCTCCTCGTTGTGTTTTTTTGGATTGTCAAATTGTTATTTATGCCTTAAGTTCTAGATTAGATGATTTTTCTGAGTTTGGTTTAATTATTAAAGATTGTAAAGACATTTTATTAGCTAGGCCTAATATTTCTATTAGGTGGATTCGGAGACAAACTAATATAGGGGCTCATACTCTTGCTCGAGCCTCCTATATCCATGCTCGCTTCCAAGTGTGGTTGACTACATTGCTTATTTCCTTTTTACGAGAATTAATACGAGTCTTTTCTTGTGTTTCAAATATATACACATATATAACAACTATATAACACGTTTAGAAAACTAGTAAGTGTAACCATGCAGTTCCTCTGTATTATATTCCCATAATGCAAACACCGGCCTTAACTGTTTCAGTAGACTAACATTTAAAATATCTAACACATAATGTTCTTTGTCTTTAATTTCTTTTTTCTTCTACCTCGTTTTGTAGGACGGTAGGAGAGGATAAAATCTTGGAAAGTGGAATAAAAAAAAAAAAGTCGGTGTTTTATCACAGGTCCATTGTGATCTAAGCTTTGGTTAATATATTCATTTTTGTTTATGCAAACAGAAACCAAACTGTTTATGCAATGGAATTAAATTGAACCAAAACGTGTTTATTCGACTTGGTTTTCGATTTGGGCTAAATTACTTTTATTCTTAGAATTCACAGAATAAAAAATATCTCAATCAAGAAAAAAAATTGTTTTCTTTTCTTTAATTAAAATTAAAGTTGAACCATATTTATTAAAAAATGAATCAAGTAAATGAACTGATTATTTCAATAAGTTACATAATTTGTTTTGTAGTTATACTTGTGTGTAGAAGCCACATCCTACTACTTTTATATTAGAATAAAGGAATGTATAGAATAAATAACATTCCTTTTAAACTTTTTCTTCATCGTAATCCTAGAGAGTAACGAGTTGAAAACAATTTCTTTAAAAATATAATATCAATTTCTTTAGTAAGAATATTCCTAGAGGTTGGTTTTCATACACTAGTGGCGAAGTCATGTTCTCCGTCAAGACAAAGATAAAGCCCATTCAGAAAACCCGTTAAAGAAGCTACTTGGAACCATCTTATAGCTATCAATGATTTGTTCTTTGTCTTAATCAATACAAGGAATTAAATAATAAGTCATCCTAAGTACATGATAAAAAATAATTTCTGTATGGTATATCATATGGCACATTTAAGGAATTCTATTAAGGTATAGTTGAATTTTTAAAATCAGCAAATTAACAATGGAGTCTACATTAGAGAAAAAAAAAAAAAAAAGAACAAATGTTTACTTATTATAATAAGCACGTTTCTTAGGTATCACTAATTGAAAAGTTAACTTGTAGTTATATTCCTAACGAGCAACGAGTCCTCTAGACTTTTATATAAGTGATCGGTGCGTCCTACATCTAGGGTATATTAATCAATTCCAGTTATCTCCATAAATCTTTATAACCTTGGCTAACTTCAGCATTGAAGTGTTTGCAGGTACTCCTCCTCCGGGATGCTCTAGCCCGTCATTCTACTTTCTATTGGTGTTGTTATTCACTAACTGCATCCTTATCTATAAATTTATATCTCAACAAGTATCAAGTGGCACTGTCTGTGTGGCATATCCATCTTTCTAACCTATTCCCTTGAAGAACTACAGGTGATTTTTGGCATATTCATAAAGTAAGATCTAAAACCATGGTCGAAACTGGAAATAATCAAAATAAAATCATCCTAAAACTTCTAAAAAAAAAGAGAAATCACAACTAAGATAACCTTCTTTCAAACAGGAAAAATGGAGAACCATCATCTGGAAGGATTTGAGAATAATCCAACACTTGAATTAACTCAAGAGCACCTCACTGAGTCTATAAGAAACTTACAAACAAAGTTAGTGGAAGGTACAAAGGAACTCCAAATCCTCCAGGATAAAGGATCCGGAGAATTAAGCGAATTTCTATTGAAGAAGACAATCAAATTGAAGGCAACAAAATGATTGACAATAAGACTACCGAGAAACTCTCAAACAACAATCTAAAAAGGAGCTTCATGGTCTTAAATCTGAACTTTTAAAACATCACAATAGTAGCTCCATCGTAGTAGAACGGAAGCAGATAAGAGCTAGGAGACAAGTCCCCTTTGTCTCACAAAATCCTAATGAAGGATCTTCCTTCTAAGTTTAAAATATCAACTTTGAAGGAGCACGATGGTTCTAGTGAATTGGGGAGCCATCTAGCCAAATGACATGTGTTATAAAATGTGAATGACAGTAACTTTTGTCAAGTTTTTCCTTTTACTCTTACATGCCCGGCTCAGTAGTGGTACCAAAGCCTAGAAACAGAATCTATTAACAACATTAAAGAATTAGATGAAGTTTTCAAGATAAATTTTTAACCTCCATCACTCCTAAGAAATTATCCTCTAACGTTTAGAAGATAAAACAAAACAACAATGAGACACTGAGATAATATATCTCACAATTCAATAATGAAGCAAATCATGTTGAAAATCTGAACTATGAAACTCCATGTGATGCTTTAAGGAGAGGAATAAGGAACCACAAATTTGTTGAATCATTGGTCAATATACTTTAACTAACAACTCATTGAGCCTGGTTCGTCCGGTAAAACCATTAATAGCAGTTCTCAAACCAAAGCCTGGTCTATTCGGTACCCTAACCCGGTCCGTCTGGCACTCTAAGCCCGATCCGTCCGGCACCATATAAGCCCACTCCACGAGTGGCACCCTCAAACCCTACCATCCTAATCGATGTTAGAACTTCATGCGCCTTGATCCTTATACAAAGAATGTACGAAGGCATACCTACAGATTTTAGCCTAGGTAGCGGGCCCCCGATCGAATTGACTGGTCAAAAATTAGAAAAATGTGTCGCACGACCTAGAATCCTCGATGAACGAGGCTAGAGTTGCACTCCCTCTGATTGCAAAAAAATGGCAATTAGCGACCGACAAAACGGTCGCTAATATTGCCAAAATCGGTTGCTAATAGAGATCCACGAGCGATTTGCGAGAACCGCAAATCAGTCGCAAGATAGCTGGTAGCTAATTTCTTCAAGACCAATGACTAGTTACGGTCACTAATTATCGACCGCCATGATCGATCGCAAATTAAGGTTGCTATTGGGTCTTCCAATGGTCTTGTGACAGACGGTCGCAAATCGCTTGCAATTAGTCAACAGTCACAAAACGGTTGCTGAACTCCGCAGGTAATCAGTCGCTAATGTAGTCGCGAAATGCATTATTAATATTTTTAGTTCGGTCGCAAAATTGTATGAGAGGCAAAAAAAAATTTGAAATTACAAAAAACTAAATGCGAAACACCTGTTAATAGAGCACACACATATATATACATATGAAATCATACACAGGTAGCCAAAATTTATCGAATAATGGTATATGACTCAATACATAAAGAAAAAGTCATAAACAATTGTATATATAAGAGAATAAGTCTAAAACGGTCCAAAATCAAATATATGTCGTTGAGTGGCCAATGTGTCTGTATTAGGGGAAACAGTGTCGACAGGAGGGTCACTAGGATCCTAACTCGTGTTTGGAGTAGGCGCTGCAATTGAGTCATGCGCTGGAACTATAACTGACCTCCTATCCAAAATAACAATGAACTCCTCATTCAATGTGTCAAATTATTCTCAAAGTTCCTATGAAATAAAGACAAAGTACAGACCATAGAAGTCTAAATTTATCATTAGGTGTCTTCAAGATCATCCTTGAGCTCAGTGCACCCTACAACTCAGCTATCCATGTCTCTACCTTAGCTGGACACCACGATCAGAACAAGCCTCTCAACCCTAAAATGGCAACATATACGAGCTTACTGCATTAGCTTTTGCATTAACTTTACATATCATGCATACATACCATGCATAGTTTTCTGGTATTTTTGTTATTGTCCATTACATCAACCAAATGTAAAATTTGTTATTCAAATAATATAAACAAAGCAGCATGAAAATAAAAAGATTTATACAAGGGTATAAAATTTGTTGTTCAAATAATATTGATTATTGTTTCTAAATCTGCATGAAAATTGAAATAAATTTCTATTGTTTTAAAAATAGATAGGCTATGATTAGAAGGGAGCAATTTGGAACTCAGTTAATTATCAAACTTGTTGTTTGAAAAAAATTATTGTGTATTACTTTGACCAAATAAAATGAAATAAATTATTTATCTTGTAGTAATTCACATCTTGCCGACGTTAGTTTAATATAAAAAATTTACTTACCGAATATATGATTCCATAAATAAATGATAAGTTATTATGTCAAACCAAATTCTACAATTTATTATTTTCATATAAATAAAATAAAGTATGAACTGAATGATTTCAAATTTATTGAATATATATGTATAGCTGTTATTTAATATTTTCATTTATCAAATATGAAAAAATTAGAACTGAATGATTTCAAATTTATTGAATAATATAACCTGGTATAGCTGTTTATTTAATATTTTTCAATTTTAATCAAAATATGAAAAAATTTATTTGAGGTGAATGATGGTGGTGGGGCATGGTGGTTCTGTGGTGGTGTAGAAGGTGATAGATTGTGGTATTTTTTTTTTTTTGTGGTGGTGGTGGTAGAGTGGTGAAGGTATTTTGGTGGCGGTAGTGTTTTAAAATTATATTACATTACATAATTGCTATATAAGTAAACATAAACAATGAAATGATGATTACATTCTAATACAATTTTCTCAATTACATTAACCGAAATATAATAATAGGAAATCTTAAATTACATTACCATTCCATTACATTTTTTCACATTTTTCATTGCATTATATCTTTGATTACATTGTATTGCGTTATATCCAAGCAAACAAGAGCAATGATAATCATCATTAACCATCAAAATACAAATACTAATACACACATGCAACAACTAAAAATAAAATCACAATAAATCACCAAGTAGATAGAATCTACTTTGGCTAACTCAAAAATTGTATCATATATGCTCCAAATCTCACCAAACTTGACACATAGCCTAATCAACTCATGTATTCAAAGATTATAAGCTTAATAACTGAAAACCAATATAAATGAAAGAGGGACAACAACGAACTTTTAACAAAAATAGTATAAAAATCATATAACTTCACAATAATGCAAAAATAAGGAAGCTTAAGCATGGATCTAAACATACATGGCATAAAAATAAGAACCTGAACCATATTTCACAGAAATCAAACATTTATAACCCAAAAATCTCTAAAGCGTTGAAAATGCACAAACCTTAACAAATCAAGCCTCCAAAACTTCCTTTCCTTTACTTTTTGGAGGATTCAACTCTTATAATCCAAAAAAAAAAGGAGATGTTTACCAACTAAAACAAGAACATGAATTTTATTATGAAACATAGTGAATATGACATATTATGCATGATTAGATTTAAAAATAAAAAAAATAAAAGAAAGAGGAAAGAGAAAGTGGTAGAGAGTCAAGTGAGGGTTTCACCTTGATTTGCTTGGAATCTTACAACAAAATTTACATCGACTTAAAGATCTTCTTGAGGATAATAACAAACCCAAATTTCATGAGAAGATAACAAGTGTAGATGGGTGAAAATGGGAGAGAATGGTTGGGCCAAGGTGTTTGTTTTGAGAGAAAGTTGAGAGAAAATAAGAGAGATGAGAGGAGAGAGGAGGTAGTGTTTGGGTTGTTTGTTTTGAGAGAAAGTTGAGAGAAAATAAGAGAGATGAGAGGAGAGAGGAGGTAGTGTTTGGGTACAAGTTTGATGGTGTGTAGAAATATTTTCTTAGGGATTTTTGCCTTATCACATGCCAAGTTTTAGGAGATTTTACAATCTGAAATTATTTTTCACATGCTTGGAGCATGTGTGTGCAAGAGGTGTAATCCCATGCATTTAGGTGTAGAGTTGTAGTGTGCAACCTTTGAATTAGGATGCTTGTACATAGGATAAAGGGAGGTACACTTTTAGTAGTCTGAGATTACGTAAGGATAAGGTGTGAAACTGTATTTTTGTCTTATAGTGGCATGTGACTTTTGTTTGTCTTTTTTTCTCATTAAAAAATGGTTGAGATTTAATTGGTCTTTTTTAATCTAAAGGCTATAATTTAACATTACACATGTACATGATATAATATATGACTGTCTAACATAAAATACAATATATTACCAAAACACAGTCTAATAACATGACAAGTTATAAAAATGCCCTTATGGCATTATTATTTACCTAAATGATCATAAATCATCCATAATTTATAATAAATCATGCTAAGGGGTAATTAGACTCTGAAAATACTGAAATGCATGAAAATAACATGTTATGAAAATCAGGATGTTACATGGGAGGTCGTCTCTATGCTGAGAATTGCACAATTGTTTTTAAGGAATCTGGAGGGGGATGTTGACATGGGAGGTCGTCATCTATGCCTGGAGAATTGCATCAATTGTTTGTTTAAGGAAGCCTCTGTCGCAGTACATGGAGAATCAGAATAATGTTTCGCAAAGCTCAAGGGATTTTTTTTTATTTTTTCATATTTGAACCCAACCACCAACCATGTTTGCCTGAACAGGCGTTGTGTTTTATTTTTGCTACCTGGATAGGTCTAACGCCATAATGCTTTTTCTCCCTAAAGTTAAAAAACATTATGACTGCTGACAGTTTTAGAGGCCCACCACCATTTGCCTAAAAGGGTTGTGTTTTTATTTTTGAACACCTGGATATCTAACCCATAATGCTTTTTCTCCCTAGTTAAAACATTCCATGCTGCTCAGTTTAGAGGCTTGTCACCATCAAGGCCTTTACCCATAAAAATCTTCTCTACAAATATTCCAGTTTATGGGTACATTTTGTGAGGCTCTAAATACATAGATAAAATGGAGAGGTAAAAAAGATAAAATAAATATAAATAAAGTTATTTTTCCACCCATCGAAAATATTTAGCTTTTTAGTGGGAAAGTTTTGCTTCAACCTTTTCAATTATAAGAAACTAAGTAAATATATTCTTTGGGTTGGCACCAATAGTTATGGCAAACAACCAAAGTGTCTGATTAGCCTTTTAAAGGCAATTTGGTTCAATTCCTATGTTTTAAGTTGAGTTTCGGTTCAATTCATAGAAGTCTCTAGATCATCGATTATTTTTGTCTGATTTGATGAGAATTAAGGTGGTTTCTCTTGAATTTTCTTTTATTTATTCTAATAAAATTTATAGTCATAGGAATAGTTTTTTTTTATGTAAACCACCGATATTCAAATCCTATTACTAGAGATCATCAAATCGGACTTGGAATTTAATTATAGTTAAAGCTCTTCGGCCCCTGCAGGCACTACAAGAAAATACCGAATAGCTATGGATTTTTAGAAACGGATTTATCTGTTTCCAAATAGAAACGGATAACAATCGGACAATGGACTCCAATTTCTGATTAACTTCAGGAGCGAACTGGAGCAGGTTTGAAAACAGATTAGAAACGGATTATTTAGAAACGAGAAGTTAGAAATGGAAAGTTGGCGAGAATTTAGAGCACGTAACCTAGGAACGGATAAGAACGAAGTTAGAAACGGATAGCAAATCCATTGCTCAAATCATTGTGAAAAGTATCCTGCTTCTCAGCCACAGATTAGGAACGGAGTAGAAACGAAAAATAGAAACCCATTTTATATCCGTTGCTAATATTTTCCACATATTTTGTTATATCTGTGTTTAAATTTATTATTATTTATTTAAAAATAATATATTATGAATTAAGAAAAAATTTGAAAATAATAGTTGGAGTAAAAATATAAATATTTTAACCCTATATTGCATTGAAAAATTTGGAATTATTTTCAAGTTCAAGTTATTTTAATTTTATTTTTAATTTTTAAATATTTTTTAACTCTTGTTGGTATTTATACGAAGGAAAAGTAATCAAAAAATTTGCTCATCTTAATTTAATTTTTAAAATAACATAAAAACTTAAAAAATCTTAATTGAAATGAAAATTTTTATTTTTGTTGATATTTGTATGAAGGAAAAAAGTAATCAAAACCTTAATTATTTTGATGAAAATTTTTATTTTTGTTGATATTTGTATGAAGGAAAAAAGTAATCAAAACCTTAATTATTTTGATTAAAATAAAAAAAAATAAAAAAGGAACTTAAAACTGCGTCATTTAGCCTATCTACGCGCTAAACCTCCCCTTACCTTTTACAAATCCCTAGTGCTCTCTCGTCCTCTCCTTCTACCTCGTTCTTCTTATCGATTGATGTCAGGTGACTTCCCATCTTTGTTCAGAAGTAATAGGAATGTGAATTCCCTCAAGTAAGAGACCCCGCTTGCTTATCAATCACAGAGCTCCATCCATCTTAAGCAGCAAACCATCTTAAGCAGCAAATCGCCATTTTTTTTACTGGTAAGCTTACTTTCCCTTTTTTTCCCCTTTTCCTCTTTGTTTAGTAAACGCCTTGAAAATCTGTGTTTCAAAATATTCCTTTTTCTCTTTAGTAGAGGTCTCTTTACATGCAGAGCCTCTTTTCTTTTATTTGTTTATAATCTATGTTCTTTGCATTTTCTCATAATTTGAAAATTTGTGTTTGTTTGTAATTAGCAAACATGCTGTGTTTGTTTGTAATTAGCAAACATGCAATGATATTAGCAAGAGTTTATGAGAATGGAATGATATTAGCAAGAGTTTATTAAATCTGTGTTGGTTTCTACGAAGGAATTGAGGATGCTGGATTGTATGGTTGGCCTCCATCTCCATAGACTCTATTTCTATCTTCTGTTCGGTTTTCTATTTCCAGCTTTAAATGCATCTACTAGTACTTCCTTTATTCTCTGTATGAACCTATATGTTTCAATAGAAATGAATTTGTATGCTTTGTGTCACTATTGGTTCAGAAGAGCAGAAAAATAAGAAAGAGAAGGAAAAATCTGCAGATTTTATAAGTGTGGAGAAACAAATATTCACATCTCATTAATTCCATTACAGCATAAATTACATTGGCATAATGGAAAAATTATAACTAAACTTATTCTAAAGTTTGTCACGCAACCTTCCATAAAGTCACAGGAAGTTGTTCACCAAACCTAACTAAAAGCAAGGTGGTTCAACTACTTCTAGACTTTTCACAAAGTACAAAAAAAAATCTTAAATGACTTTAACAAAATTTCTCACAAAAAACTGTCAACAGTAGATTAACACCTTGCGCATCAAAATAGATGTAAGCTGTAACGTTTAACACTCCTCCTTGAATGCAAGAGTTGAGACAAACACCAAAGTCTATTCTAATTCAAATCTTGGTTTTTTGCAATGCCTTGGTGAAATATCATCTACTGTTATGGTCTCAGAAACGTGCAAATGAACAATTCAGAACTGCAATGAACAATCTGAATTTCATTTTCCTTTTCAGCTTCACGAATTGCATGATACTTGATTTTTATATGCTTGGTTTTTCCATGGAAGATTTGGATTTTTAACCATAGCAACAGCTGATTTGTTGTCACAAAGTATTTTAGTTGGATTTTCTTGCTGAAAATTCAGATCAACTAACACCTTTCTCAACCATATAGCTTGGTTTACAGCAGCAGATGTTGCAACATACTCTGCTTCTGCAGTTGATTGAGCAACTGAAGCTTGCTTTCTTGTTCCCCAGCAAATGACAGCAGAACCAAGTGAAAAAACAGCAAACCAAAGTGAAAACCCAAAAACCAAAGTAAGTGCTCTTCATATCATGCCAATGACCCAGCCCAATGATGTCTGAGAACCCCAAACAACTCACACCATTTAAATCTTCTATAACAACAACATATATTCAGCAGTC